AAAGATTCAAAATGCTACCTACTATATGATTCTGCTTATGTGACATTCTTTTTTCTAATTTTTAATTTTTTTTTTTTTTTGATTGGCTACATCTGTGGAATAATTTTTAATTTTTTATTATGGGTACATGATAATAGTTGTGTATTTTTATAGGGTACATGTGGTGTTTTGATACAGGTATACAATGTGAATTAATCAAATCTGAGTAGTTGGGTATTCATTATCTCAGGCATTTCTTTGTGTTAGGAACATTATATTCTACTATTTACTTATTTTAAGATACCCTAGCTTATTGTTGATTATAGTAACTTTATTGTGCAATCAAATATCATTCTAACTATCTAACTATATTTGCACCCAAACCATATCTTGCTGTTATTTTTTAATCTGGTTACAACCAAATGAAATTCAACCACTTGGCCTTGAGAACATGTACTGTGTTCAGAGAGAACTAGATTAACCAGCATGGGGAAAGGTGTTTCGGTGAGAGCATCCCAAGAGTAGAAGTGGACACTCCACCACCTGCCACTCACTGTTCCTTCTCCCTGTGCAACTGCCCATCCTGACCACTGGGCCAATGTGCCTTCCTTTAGTCTCACCTACACTTCTATGTTGCTGGTACCTTGAAAGACTTTCACCCTGATTCTTAAACTCGAAACCATATTTGGCATTGTCAAAGAGTTTTATAGACTCTTTAAAACACTTAAAGTTTTCTTTTATTTAAAAAAATGCATATTCATTGTAGACAGTTGAGAAGATATAATTCTGCTACTGAGAAAGAAATGATGCTTATTAACTTTGTGGTGTAAAACTACTAGGCATGTGTGGTAAACACTTTTCCCTACTCTGCTTAGGATTATACTGTTTTATAACATGTTGGCCAACAATTCTTGACACTCTCTTGACATCTATAACAACATCCTTTCAGTATTCTTTTCTTATATTGATGGACATATTTTTCTCCACTTATTTCCTGTGGGTGGTTCTCAAGTCCTTGATGTTTATTCTTCCTCTATAAATCTCACTTCCTCTTTGAGTTTATCCATTCTAAGACATCCATGTATCATCTCTGTGTTGATGACTTATTCAAACTTTATCCAGATATTGAGACCCTACTGTATGGTAGGTGACAGGCTAGATTTGGGTGATTCAGAAGTGAATGAGACCGATATGACCCCTGCCCTTATGGAGCCTTCACTTTGGGGTGGGAGGCAGACACGCAAACAGGTAATTGCAGCAATGTGGGAAATACAGAGTACTGAGGGGAACAGAAGGGCTCCCTACCTGGTGAAGGTTTTCTGGAGGAAGTAACATCCTAAAGAATAGTGGGACAATAGGCAAATAATGTGTGGAGAGGGTGACAGGACAGAGCATGTACAAAAATTATCCCCATCCCCTGGCAATAGAATAGGTAAGGTTTAATGATTGGGAACTACATTCTACCAAATACTGATTCTAGAGTTATTGGAAGCATGTTTGTCCTGGCCTTCAGAAGCTTCTTCAAAAGTGGAAGTTATGCATCACTGCAGAAATATATTTCTCATTTTGAGAGTTCTTGAAAGAATTTGAGTGAATACATAAGAGTAACCTTTGGGCCGGGTGCTGTGGCTCACGCCTGTAATCCTAGCACTCTGGGAGGCCGAGGAGGGTGGATTGCTCGAGGTCAGGAGTTTAAAACCAGCCTAAGCAAGAGTGAGACCCTGTCTCTGCTATAAATAGAAAGAAATTAATTGGCCAACTAATATATATATATATATAGAAAAAATTAGCCGGGCATGGTGGCGCATGCCTTAGTCCCAGCTACTCGGGAGGCTGGGGTAGTAGGATTGCTTGAGCCCCAGGAGTTTGAGGTTGCTGTGAGCTAGGCTGACGGCACGGCACTCACTCTAGCCTGGGCAACAAAAAGTGAGAGACTCTGTCTCAAAAAAAAAAAAAAAAAAAAGAGTAACCTTTGGTCCCACAGGAGCAAAATTCCAGCAGTTTTTCCTGCATTTGGCAAGCCTAGAAGCAGACAATTTTTCAAGAAAAAATTGAACTGGGGATTCCATTGCCTGTTGCCTATTAATTTTTTAAAGGACAGGACTGCCTGAAGCTATGGAGACCATGAGTTGGGAGATGTGAAGAGATCTGAATGTTTAATTACATAAAACAACCCTGTCAGCAGTCTCAGAACCCTGGGCCAAGGTTGCCTTCCACCCCAGCCATTGCAGGGGTTGGTCTGTCAACTCAAAGCCATAGCAGTTTGGATAGGAAGGGAAAGATACCTGATCCTCTCAGTTAGTCTTAGCATTTTTCAGGTACTCCCTAGTGATCTGTTTCCATTTGCTTGTTGCCACCTTGGAAAGTTTATGTCCCAGGTTACATTTTTGGCTTCTGCCACAAATCCTTTTGGATCATAACAAGCATTATTATTAAATAAAGTTCAGATTTGTTTTCTGCTCAAACTAACCTTTCAAACTTTGAAAATCAAACTAATTTTTTTCAGATAAGAGCTTTTTAAAAAAATATTTTAAAAGTTCAGAAATGTTTTAAGAGGAAGTTAAAATTTACCCTAAATCCCACATGGAGATGAGAATCTGGCTATTTCTGTCTCTCCTAGTTACGAAGCAACATACCCTGTCACCTGGTTGATATCTCTTGCGGGTTACCCTGCAGTGCCACGCTTCCGTGTGGGATGCACAAGTGTCAGAGACTCTGTCACAAAGGAGAATGTCTTGTGGATGAGGCCTGCAAGCAGCCCTGCACCACCCCCAGAGCTGACTGTGGCCACCAGTGTATGGCACCCTGCCACCCCAGCTCACCCTGCCCCGTGACTGCTTGTAAAGCCAAGGTAGGTATTTGTGGCCCCAGATGGGGTGTTGACTGTGGTTCTGGGGCTGCTAGTGAGTCCAGAACAGTCTGCAGTAGCCCCTGGGCATGCCTCTTAATCAGGGATCATTGGTTGTAAGGAAATGCAAGTTAAGTTAACAAGAGAAAGGTTATATAAATCATGTAGGCTTCTGGCCACCCAGTTTGCTTTGGCCTTTTAATTCAGCAAGTACTGCCACCTGACCACAGTCTCTGCCTCCTTTATATCAAATTCTCAAGAGACTCTATCTAATCCACTTATTCAACACACCTATTAATATAAATGCCTATCTTGTGTAAGACATTATCCAAGGTGCTGGGGCTAAATTAGCAAGCAAGAGACACATGGTTCCTCACAATTTGATGGGCTACATTCTCAGTTAACTAATCATGACTGTCGTGTCATGGAGGAATCGTCACACCCTTATGGAAGGTGCTGTGAAAGCATGTAAATGGGAGAGTTAGCCTAGCCTGTGGGATAAGGCAAGTCTACCCTGAGTAGGTGAAAGCAGTGGGATGAGCTGGAGTTGGCTAGGCCTCAGTTGGGTCTGGGTCAAGTGTCCACCTCTGGATCAGTGGTGAAAACTTCATCTAGGGCTGTCCCATCAGCCGGGATTAAGAACAGAAATACAATAGTTTCCAGAAAGGTACATTGTGACCAGGGCACTTCCCTCCTAGCATGTCAACTACTGTGTTGTTAATTTGCATGTACGTTTAGTTTCTTCTATCTTGGAGAGTTGCCACTCACTCTCTATTCTCTGCCATGGTTTGATCTGAGAGAGGATTTAAAAGTGAAACCTAAAAAAAAATAAAATAAAAAAAATAAAAGTGAAACCTGCTTACTCATCTGGTTTCCATGTGCTGAAAGTTGCTCCATGTAAATCTGATTTCAGGTAGAGCTACAGTGCGAATGTGGACGAAGAAAAGAGATGGTGATTTGCTCTGAAGCATCCAGTACTTATCAAAGGTTAGTGCTACTTAAATATTAACTGGTGTACCTAGGTGAAGGGGATACATGTGTTTATTGTAGAATACTTGCAGCTTTTCTAGAGGTTGGAAAGTTTTTTGAAGAATTTTTTTTTTTTTTTTGAGACAGAGTCTCGCTTTGTTGCCCAGGCTAGAGTGAGTGCCATGGCGTCAGCCTCGCTCACAGCAACCTCAAACTCCTGGACTCAAGCAGTCCTGCTGCCTCAGCCTCTCGAGTAACTGGGACTACAGGCATGCGCCACCATGCCCGGCTAATATTTTCTATATATATTAGTTGGCCAATTAATTTCTTTCTATTTATAGTAGAGACGGGGTCTCGCTCTTGCTCAGGCTGGTTTCGAACTCCTGACCTCGAGCAATCCGCCCGCCTCGGCCTCCCAGAGTGCTAGGATTACAGGCGTGAGCCACTGCGCCCAGCCTGAAGAAATTTTTTAAAAATCTAGTTTCTTTGGTTCAAAGAAAAAGTGCTGCTTTATGTACCGTTTCTTCCCTAACTTTAGTTTGTAAAATAGCCTTTTTTTTTTTTTTGAGACAGAGTCTCACTCTGTTGCCCGGGGTAGAGTGCCGTGGCATCAGCCTAACTCACAGCAACCTCAAATTCCTGGGTTCAGGCGATCCTCCTGCCTCAGCCTCCTGAGGGGTCTCACTCTTGCTCAGGCTGGTCTTGAAATCCTGACATTGAACGATCTTCCCGCCTTGGCCTCCTAGAGTGCTAGGATTATAGGCGTGAGCCACCACACCTGGCCTAAAATACCCTTTTTATTTCTCCTCCTCCTCCTCCTCCTTTCCATCTTACTCTTATTACATAAAAAGGAAAGATGCCCTGAAGTTAGATTAATTGCTTTAACATTCTGCCATTTAGAATTGCTTTGACATTCTAAGTGGCACAGCCAGGGCTAAATCCTGTGCTCCTCTTCTGGTATAGGGGTTTCTGATTGTTTTGTGAGGTATCTTTGCAGCCTTCTGAAGTCTTGGGACCTATGAAGTCATACAGGGATCTGAGTACAGAGGTAGAGGTGTGAGAGAATGGTTGTGTGTATCTGTGGTTAGATGAAGAAATGTGCCATAGATATAGGACTTTAGGAGTATGCAGATATCAGATTGGCTGTGTTCAAATACTTACTGGATGCCAGGCATAGGCCTGCATGTTCAAGGGGGTACTGAGCAGTTGGGTCACCTCATTGCTTCCTATATAGCTGCTTAGAATCTAATTGAGGAGATACGATATAGCATGCAGGTAGTTCATAATAGGTGGGCTTCCAAGGCCACACAGATTGTCATACGTTTGCTTTGAAAGAGGTCTTCTGCATCCCCACTATGGGCAGGTTCTTGTGAAACTGCAATGCCTCTTCTCTTTATTTTTATATTTCAGAATAGCTGCTATTTCCATGGCCTCTAAAATAACAGACATGCAGCTTGGAGATTCTGTGGAGATCAGTAAGTTAATTACCAAGAAGGAAGTTCAACAAGCCAGGTAATTTTTTAAATGGATATATATGCCTTCTTTCTTCAGGTAGTCTAGAGGGCACTGATGATTCATTTATTTCGATCCCCCACAGTAGAGCCTTGCACACACAGTAAGTGTTCAGTAGGCGTTTGATGTTAAGAGGCCAAGCCCACTCCAACCCCAATGAATCCTACTCAAAATATAGCTAAGACTAGAAGAGACCTTCCAGGCCTCACTACAGAAGGTAGCTAGAAGCAGAGGTCTGGATGTCTCATGCCTAACCCACAGGAGAATACAGAACCAGAGTGGTGGCTATATCTAGAGAGGGAATTTGGGCTGTTAGAGGGGCACTTGGGGAGCATTTGGTGGCTGAGCAGCCAGGAAACACTGTGAGGACTCGTTGACCCCCATAACCCAGAAGCCTGCCCACCTGTCCTTGAGAGGGACCTCATCCAGCCATTCCTAGATTGGGGTCCCAGGGAGATGATGAAATTCCCAGGGCAGGGGGTGCTAGTGGAACCTAGCCTCACAGACTCTTCCTGGCCTGAGTTGTCCTTTGGCAAGAGTCAGCTATGTTTTCAGGTTGACTATCTAAGACTTCTTTTCTTGCTGGGTAGGAGCTATAAAGCCTGTACCCTGACTTTGTTTTTTTTCTTGCATCATCTTGCTTATCAATCTAGGCTTGGAGTCTGTGTCGAGCAGAGTGTACTCAAGCCTTGCGAAATCGGAAATATGTAAGTAGTTTGAAACTAACTTTTATTAAATCTCCATGCCTTTTGTAGCCTCGGTCGAGTGAGAATCTAAGTACAAGACGAGAGAGCAACCATTACAGACATTCAAAAAACCTGTTAACCTGAGTACATTTGCTTCTGCTATCAAAGAGCAAGAGAAATGCTAGGCTAACAGGAACTGAAATTGTCTAGAGAGAGGGGACATTTAACCCAACATCAGCGGTGAATATCAGCATATTCAGCACAACATAGAAGCTAGCTTGGGTTGGGCATTTGTTGGATGACATCAACATGTCACGACGCAATACTTACACTAGCCTAAACTCTCCTGAATTCCAACCAGAGATCCAACAAGGTTTAAAATAGTTTTAAATGTACTATTTGTATTCTGAATGCTATAACCATACATAGCTCAAAGATTAGAAGTGTACTGATTGGTGAATGATCGACCCAAGTGAATAATCCATCGTACTGCTGCGTAACCAAGCAACCTGCCAGGTAGAATGAGGAAACCAATAGATGTACCCTAACAGAACATTTTCATTGTACCCTTTATTTGACACGGAGATAAAGCACCTACCACCTTCCTATCCTCGACTTCTAACACTTTAGTTTTTCTGTTTTTGAACTTTAAGTAATGAAATTATATAAGTTTTGTTTGTTTGTTTTGAGACAGAGTCTTACTCTGTCGCCCAGGCTAGAGTGAGTGCTGCATCAGTGCCCAGCTCAGTCTCCCTGGCCAGCGATCCTAACTGCCTCCCAGTCCCAATAGCTGGGACACAGCATGCACCACCATGCCCAGCTAATTTTCTGTGTACTATATATTTTAGTTGGTCAATTTAATTTACTTCTCTAGGTTTTTGTAGAAGACGCGGTCTTGCTCAGGCTGTGATTTTGAACTCCCTGACCTTGACAATCCACCTGCCTCAGCCTCCCAGGAGTGCTAAGGATTACAGGCGTCGAGCCAATGCCCCGGGAACGCAAAATATTCTATACTACCTGCCTTTGCTGGGGTTTTTTTTGTTCTTTTTTTTTTTTTGAGAACGGAGTCTCAACTCTGTTAGGCCTGGGCCTAGGAATGCACCCAACTGCATCACTAGTTAGAGTGCCGTGGGTGTCGCCCTAGCCTCACAGCAACCCTCTCAACCCTCCCCCAAGGCTCAAGCAAATCCTCCCTGAGCCTCCTCCAGGCTAGCTTGGGACAGCAGGCCCAACAACACTACCGTCCGCCTGGCTCATCTTTTTCACCCCTTTTGGTAGTCGTCTTCGCCTTACATCATTTCTATTTATGGTAGCAGATGGGCTGCAGCGGTCTCCGCTCCCTTGCTCACGCTGGTCTGAAACACCTCCCTGAGCTCAAGCAATCTCATCTCCGCCGTTGCCTCCCAGAGTGCAGGATAACAGATGCTGAGCCACCTTGTGCCCTGGCTGCGCTTTGCTGGGGTAGATACGTTTTGCCGACAATTTCTGTTGGATATAACACTTTAGTAAGAGTACTAAGCAATTGCTGATTAATAGCACCTCATTATGTTCAGCTTTAGAAGATTCTGCCAAACAGCATCCAAAGTAGTTGTACCAAATTGCACTCCCCCACAAGCAGCAGCTAGCTCATTCCATCCCACCTATGAAACATTTTTGTCAGTCAACTTGCAAGTATGCTCAGTCCCTTTTTCTAATTTTAGCCATTATTGTGGATATGTAGCAGGTTATTAAGTGGTTTGTTTTTTTGTTGTTGTTTTGTTTTTGTTTTTTTTTTTGAACCCAAGTCTTACTTTGCTTGCCCCGGGGAGGCCCGCTCGAGTGAGTTGCCGGTGTCAGCTTAGGCTCACAGCAACCCTCAACACGTCTTGGCCAAGAAATCCTACCTGCCATCAGCCTCTCCGCAGTAGGCGGGACTACAGCCATACCACCACAACTGCCGAGCTATATTTTCTCTAATATAATAACCGCTAGCTTGGCCCAATTAATTTCTTTCTATTTATAGTAGAGACGGGGTCTCACTCTTGCTCAGGCTGCTTTGGAACTCCTGACCTCGAGCAATCCACCCTCCTCGACCTCCCAGAGTGCTAGGATTATAGGCGTGAGCCACCATGCCTGGCCTGTTAAGCTTTTAATTTATATTTTCCTGATGATTTACAAGGTTGAACACCTCTCTTACATTTATTGGCCATTGGATATCCCTGTTTGTGAAATGCCTACTCAGGTCTTTCACTTATTTTTTAATTGTGTTGTCTCTTTTTCATATTGACTTATAGGAGTTCTTTATATATTCTGGATATGATTCCTTTGTTGGTTTTATATATTGTGAGCATTTTGTTGAACTCTGTACCTTCATTTTTTTTTCTCTTATGATGTGTTTTAATAAAGAGAAGTTTCTAATCTTAGTTTGCCCAGTTTGTCTGCCTTTTCCTTAATGAGTGCTTTTTTATGTCCTGTTTCAGAAAAATTTATCTATCCTAAGGTCATGTTGTCTATCCTAAGGTCATCTACTGTTACTACCTAGAAGCATTTTTTTCTTTAGAAGCATTATTATTTTATTTATTTATTTTTATTTTTTTATTTCAGCATATTATGGGGGTACAAATGTTAAGGTTATATATATTGCCCATGCTCTCCTCCCTCCTAGAAGCATTATTATTTTACCTTTCACATTTAGATCTCCAGTTGACCTGGAATGATTTATTAAAATATAGTATAAGGAGAGTTTGCAACTCAGGTTTTTTTCCCCATATGAATATTCATTTGACCAGTACCAAGATTGTCCTTTACCCAGCACTCTGCAGTGCCACCTTTGTCATAAGTCAAGTATTCATATATATGTGAGTCTATTTCTGAGCTTACTGTGTTCCGTTGCACTAGTATCACAGTGCCTTAATTATTTTACCTGTACAACAAGTCTTAATATCTGGTAGTATATCTCCTCAAACATGGTTGTTAAAGATTATCTTGACTATTCTTGGCCCTTTGTATTTCCACTTAAATTTTAGCTAATATCTATCTAAGAAATCTGCTGGGTTTTGATTGAGTTGGTATTTAATTTGTAGATCAATTTGGGGAGATTTGGCATCTTTATAATATTGAGTTTTCTAATCCATGAGCAAAGTGTATCCTTCCATTTCGTGTCTCCTTTATTTTTCTTAATGATAATTTATAGTTTTCGGTATGTAGATTTTGCACATCTTTCGATAGATTTGTTCCTTGCTCTTTGAAGTTTTTGATGCTGTTATAAATGGTTTTTTTTTTCTTGTTTTTTTTTTTTTTTTTTGAGACAGAGTCTCACTTTGTTGCCCAGGCTAGAGTGAGTGCCGTGGCGTCAGCCTAGCTCACAGCAACCTCAATCTCCGGGGCTCAGCGATCCTACTGCCTCAGCCTCCCGAGTAGCTGGGACTACAGGCATGCGCCACCATGCCCGGCTAATTTTTTGTATATATATTTTTAGTTGGTCAATTAATTTATTTCTATTTTTGGTAGAGACGGGGTCTTGCTCAGGCTGGTTTCGAACTCCTGACCTTGAGCAATCCGCCCGCCTCGGCCTCCCAAGAGCTAGGATTACAGGCGTGAGCCACAGCGCCCGGCCTAAAGATTCTTTCTTAATACATACTAATCTAAGAAAAAAAAAAGAAATGGGCCAGGCGTGGTGGCTCATGTTTGTAATCCCTGTACTTCAGGAGGCCAAGGCAGGAGGATCACTTGAGGCCATGAGTTCAAGACCACCTGAGCAATATAATAAGACCTCACTTGAGCCCAAGAGTTCGAGGTTGCAGTGATCAGTGATCCAGCCACTGCATTCCAGCCTGGCTGACAGAGAGAGACTCTGTCTCAAAAAAAAAGAAATGCAAATTTTCAAAAGAAAATGTCATCTAAAGTTTTATATATAAATATACACACACACACATTACATAAATCAAGAACTAGCAGGTTAAATTCAGCCAACAGACAGGTTTCATTGATGTTTAAATTTGAATTGGTAGCCAACTAATCATAACATCAAAAAATCTCCCCCTAAAAATTCTCTTGAAAATTTGAAAAGTAAGCCTCTCTTGAAAAATTAGAAAATCTAGCAATATGAACAAGATTCTTATGGACATTAAGCTTGCAAGTGACATCTGTCACAGTGTAGATTAAAACTGTACTAAGTGCTAAGCTGAATTCTATTTAAAGTAAATAAATAACTGGATGTTGGTGAGATGCCATGAGATTCAGATAAGCACAAAGTGGCATTTTTAGTGACCACTTAGGCCACATTGATCAAGAGTCTTATGTCCATTTCATGCAACCCCACAACTGGAAACATTTTCCAGGGAAATTATTTTGAAATTTTCTTGCACAGATATATTAATTGTCATTTATAATATTAAGAAACTAGGGAATTGTTAAACGTAAATGTGGAATGTTTAAGTAAATTATGGGAAATACATAATTAGAAGATTATGAACTATTAAAACAGTATGTGTGCAGCCGGGCACTATGTGGCTCATGCCTATAATCTCAACACTTTGTGAGGCCAGGAATTGAAGACCAGGCTGGGCAACATATCAAGATCTCGTCTCTACAAAACATTTTTTAAAAATTAGCTGAGCTTGACAGCACATGCCTATAGTCCTAGCTACTTAGGGGGCTGAGGCAGAAGAATCGCCTGAGCCCAAGAGTTCAAGGTTGTAGTGAGCTACTATGATCACACCATTGCACTCCAGCCCAGAGCAAGACCCTGTCTCAAAAAAAAAAAAAACAGTAAGTGTGAAAACCAAATAGTAGTATGAGAACTGCTAATCATACAATGAAGTGGGGGAAACTTACAGGTTTTTTTAATTTAATTTAAAAATTTGGGGTTGCTGTGAGTTAGGCTGGCGCCATGGCACTGTAGCCTGGGCAACAGAGTGAGACTCTGTCTCAAAAAAAAAATATTTTTTTTTAATTTATTTTTTATTGAGATATAAAAATTGTATTTATTTATAGTGTACGGCATGATTTTTTGGTTTTTGGTTTTTTGTTTTTTTTTTTGAGCCAGAGTCTCGCTTTGTTGCCCAGGCTAGAGTGAGTGCCATGGCATCAGCCTAGCTCACAGCAACCTCAAACTCCTGGGCTCAAGCGATCCTACTGCCTCAGCCTCCCAAGTAGCTGGGACTACAGGCATGCGCCACCATGCCTAGCTAATTTTTTCTATATATTTTTAGCTATCTAATTAACTTCTTTCTATTTTTAGTAGAGATGGGGTCTTGTTCTTGCTCAGGCTGGTCTCGAACTCCTGAGCTCAAATGATCCACCCACCTCGGCCTCCCAAAGTGCTAGGATTAGCATGAGCCACTATCCCCAGCCTGAAACAGTTTTATATATACCAATTGCAGCCACTTAAAATGATAGGCAAGCCAGGCATGTGGTGACACATGGCTATAGTCCTAGCTACTCAGAAGGATGAGGAGGCAGGATCCCTTGAGCCTAGGAGTTTGAGTCCAGCCTGGGCAACATAGTGAGACCATGTCTCTAATAAAGAATTTTAAAAAATAAATAAATTTAAAAAATTATAGGGAAACTGTTTGGGGGATTTTAAATTAGTATAGCTACTATGGAAAATAGTATGAAGGTTCCTCAAAAAATTAAAAATAGAAATGCCATATGATCCAGCAGTCCTACTACTGGGTATATAAGGGAATGAAAGCAGTATGTCAAAAAGATATCTGCACACTCATGTTTATTGCAGCACTATTTACAATAGCCAAGATATGGAATGAACTCAGGTGTCAATACAGATGAATGGGTAAAGAAAATGGGGTATATAGCAGAATACTATTCAGCCACAAAGAAGAATGAAATCATTTGCAGCAACATGGATAGAACTGATGGTCATTGTGTTGTTAAATAACCCAGGCACAGAAAGACAAATATCATATGCTCTCACTCATATGTAGGAGCTAAAAAAGTTAATGTCATAAAGGTAGAGAGTAGAATGATAGATACTAAAGGCTGGGAAGCATGTGGAGGGGGGATGAAGAGAGGTAGGTTAATAGGTACAAGCATACAGTTAGATAAAAGGCATAAATTCTGTTGTTCAATAGCAGAATAGAGTATCTACAGTTAACAATGATGTATTTTATATTTCACACCGCAGAGTACTAACCACTATACGATCACGGCTGTATTTTATATTTCAAAGTAGCTAGAAGAGAGGACTTGAATTGTTCCCAACATAGAGAAATGATAAATACTCAAAGTAGTGGATACCTCAGATACCCTGATGTGATCATTACACATTCTATGCACATAACAAAATATCACATGTACCCCTAAATATATAAAATATTATGTATCAATAAAAAAGATTATTTAAAGAAAATAGGGTGTATGTGTGTGTATGTATGTGTGTGTATATGTATATACATATGAATACACACACAAACACACAGTGGAATAAATACTATTTGCCCACAAAAAAGAATGAAATTCTGTTATTTGCAACAACATATATGGACCATCCAGTCATGTTAAATGAAATAAGCCAGATGCAGAAAGACAAATACTATATATGATCAGAGACTGAGGAGCAGAAAGGGGAAGATGGGGAGAACTTGATCAGTGTGTAAAAAGTTAAAATTAGGAGGATAAGTTCTAGTGTTCTGTTGCACAGTTGGGTAATGATGGTTAACAGTAAGGTGTATGGTATAGTATATTACAAAATTGCTAGGAGAGAGGATTTTGAATGTTCTCACTGCAAAGAAATGATAAATGTATGAGGTAATGGATATACCTAATACACCTATTTGGTCATTATACAACATATATATGTATTGTAACATCGAAACATCAAATTGTACCTTATAAACATTTACAATTACAATGTGCCATAAAAACATAAAAAATAAATATATTAAAATACAGTGTTTCTGTTGTTAATGGCAGATTTTCTATAATGTGATATTAATTTTAACATTTATATGTCTATTTTATGTCCTTTATGTTTACATTAAGCCTCAGAGAATGTCAATCCCCATTGACCAACCATTCCCAGTGATCTCACACCCCCAACCTTCTCTTCCCAAATAATCCAAGTCCACAGTGTTCAGCCTGTGGCTTGCTTAGACCCACATATCTATTTTATTTATTTTCTTCAATGAAGACAATACCACATCTTGACCCAAATTGTTGTTATTCTTTCCTTAATAATCTGTTTTACTGAAATGAGATAAATAATGTATAAAGAATTTAGGATGTGTCTGAGAGGCCAAGGCGGGCGGATTGCTCAAGGTCAGGAGTTCGAAACCAGCCTGAGCAAGAGCGAGACCCCGTCTTTACTATAAATACAAAGAAATTAATTGGCTAAGTAATATATATAGAAAAAATTAGCCTGGCATGGTGGCGCATGCCTGTAGTCCCAGCTACTCGGGAGGCTGAGGCAGCAGGGTTGCTTGAGCCCAGGAGTTTGAGGTTGCTGTGAGCTAGGCTGACACCATGGCACTCACTCTAGCCTGGGCAACAAAGCGAGACACTGTCTCAAAAAAAAAAAAAAAAAAAATTTAGGCTGTGGTAATAATTCTTTGTAACTATAAGGTAGTTTCCCTCCTACTCCTTTCCTTTTATTTGCATACTTCTCTCCCACTTGCAGGAGGTTAGCAGAGGCATTTCATATCAGTGATGATTCTGATCCTTTCAATATACGTTCTTCAGGGTCAAAATTCAGTGATAGTTTGAAAGAAGATGCCAGGTATGTAACTTGTTACCTACTTTCTTACTTGAAGCTTATAAGATTATTTGGTCTCTTAAGATCTAGTGACTAATATGTATTCCTTCTGTGAATAAGCCAGTTCAAGTTTGTTTATCTGTTGTAAGCCTTCTCTTGGTTTCTCGAAACTATACCCTTAAAGAACTAAAGTTGAGGTGGGGATGGGGATGGGGATATGGTAAGAATTTGAGCCTTGTTTTATAAGTCTTCAGGCTGAACTAGACTGAACTGAAATATCTCTGGGCTTCATTCTACCTCTGTCTACCCAGGTCTCACATTCCCATGGGTTCTCACTTGGAGCAGTAACAGCTCTTATTTTCCTCCTGTCTCCTGGCCCTCTGATGGTTATTTCTCCTTTTGTCTTCTCTTTTCTCATAATTATTTTCTCTTTTGATCTTCCTTTGTTTCATCACAGTTGACCTTCTGTTATCGGACAATTCATGACCTCTGCAGTTTTTCTGTCAACATTGTCCATTGTTTGTACTCTACAGGCAAAGGGTGGATGGAAGAGGTTCCCAGAAGGGCAGGAACAGATGAAATTAACTGTGGTGATTTTTTTCATTTCAGGAAGGACTTAAAGTTTGTCAGTGACATCGAGAAGGAAATGGAAACCCTTGTGGAGGCTGTGAATAAGGTTGAAGTCAAAATCCCACTCGACATTTCTCTAAGGCTACCTTGATAAAAAAAAAAATCAGGTTGCAGAAACACTGTCAGCCTAGAGTAGTTGTAGGAAAAAGTTACTTCCTTGAGGATCCTTCTCTTTCCCAAAAGCCTATCTATGGAAGCCTCTCCTAGTTCAATTATTGCAGAAAAGATATGCAATCAAATGTGAACAAAAATCCTGGCTAAGTGCCCAAGAATGGGTAGAGAAACTTGGCAAGGGTGCTCACTAGTGATAGCTGAGTGACTACATGGGACACTTAGGAAGACACACAAAGCCCTCACATGTTTGAATGGCTGTGATACGATAGGAGAGATAGGAGAGCACACGGGCTCTTTGTTATCCCAAAGGCAGGAAAGAAACCCTGGGGGAAGGATAAAAGTAGTATGACTGGAACTGAAGAGAGTGAGGTAGACTCCTTCAGGAGAGCAAGGCCCCTGTCCTGGAGGCGGCCAGGGTTGTCAAGGAGGTAGCCAGGCTAGAGTGAGTGCTGTAGCATCAGCCTAGCTCACAGCAACCTCAAACTCCTGGGCTCAGGCGATCCTCCTGCCTCAGCCTCCCGAGTAGCTAGGACTACAGGCATGCGCCACCATGCCCAGCTAATTTTTTCTATATGTATTAGTTGGCCAATTAATTTCTTTCTATTTATAGTAGAGATGGGGTCTCACTCTTGCTCAGGCTGGTTTCAAACTCCTGACCTTGAGCAATCCACCTGCCTCAGCCTCCCAGAGAGCCAGGATTACAGGTGTGAGCCACTGTGCCCGGCCAGTGAAAAAGTCTTTAATTTAGTCAGAAGCTGCCAGTGCTGCATCGTCTTCCTCTTCAGTCAGTGGGACCTGGGAGTGAGGATGAGATGGCTGCTTGAGCTTGAGCTGCATATCTAAGGATGATGGTTTTCCCTACCCCCTTCCCATTCCTTTCTCTCTTTTTTTATCACTTCCCAACAGAATACTAACATGAAGGAAAATATGGAATGCATTGTTCCTCTCCTAATTAAGAAACCTGAGCAAATGTATTTCTTGTTTATATGTCTGTATCTGTATGATTTTTAGAGTAGAACATATTTTATAGGAAATGAAATTTTCTTATTTCATAAGTCTTCAATTTATTTAGTCATGTCTTGGGAATATCACTCACTCCCCAGCTATTGGACCTGTCAGAAGGAACAATTACAGTGTCAGTCTGAGTTTCTTTGTCCCTCACCCTGTCCAGCTACTGCTCTTGTGGCTCACACAGTAGATGAAAGAAGTGCATCAGCTCCCATCTTCCTGAACTTCTCTGGGTTTGCTTGACAGTTAATGAAATCCTGTGTGCTATGGGCCTCTAAAATTCAGTCCCCTCTTACTAACACACACTATTCTTGTGGTGGAAAGGTTAGTTGTAAGCATTTTCTGTTTCAAGATGATCTCATTCAGTCATCTTTTCCCTCAATACAGGGAAAGAATAGCAAGAAAAGCCACTGCTTCCCTCCCATGAACAGAGACCACCGCCGGATTATCCATGATCTGGCCCAAGTTTATGGCCTTGAGAGCGTGAGCTATGATAGTGAACCAAAGCGCAATGTCGTGGTCACTGCCATCAGGTAGGTTGATTTTTTTTTTTTTTTGTATAACATAACCACATTTATTTAAGAATGTATTCCAATATCAAACAGCAAATTTCAACAATGCTAAAACCACAATTACTTTTGCACCAACCTATTAGAGAATGGAATTGAGCACATATCTGCCTTTACTATACAAACCCTGTCTCAGGGTGGCCCAGTAGTTTACCATGGGAATTTCTAGGTAGGTTGATCTTGCTGTTACAGGAGGAACTCCTCAGCAGAGCAAACTGGACCCAAGAAGTAGGGTCTATCCATATTTGTTTTTCTTACTTCCAGTCTCCCTCTTAGAAGAATAGAAGGAAAATCTGCTTCCCTGGGACTTGTAAGATGATCTAAAGGCCTGAGCCAGAGAGCAAAGCCCATGCCTCAGTCCATAGGGCAGACACACTCAAAGTGCACAAGCCTCACATCTGCCCAGATCCACAGCAGACGCTGGAGGCAGCATTTCTTCAGGCAGAAGGAACAGACCCTGGAGGCCTGGGCAGGATGCCTGCCCATCACATCTGTCCCTTCCTCTTTTATCCCCTGATCCTCCCTCTGACCTCTTCCTGGCTCTGTCCTCCTGGCCTGAGGGAAACAAATGCTGGACTCTGATTCAAGGCATTCCCTATGAATAGTGTTTAGCCATCAGAGGAAACTGAGAGAGTAATGGGAGCCAGGAGGGGATAGACAGGACCTAGGATCACTGTCAGAACCTGAGGGAACAGGAATAACTTCCCAGTGAAGAACACTCAAATGTGACATGGGAGGAAGCAGGCAACAGGCCCAGCAGAGGTGGGTGGAAGGGACGAGGGTTAAATGCAGGTGACCACACCTGGGAGGAGACAGGTCCTACCAGAGGGTACTCAGCAGTGTCGAGACTGAGTTTCTAGCTGTCTGCCTATCTCCACAAACGATTCTCATTTTTCAATCCTTGGTATTTTGACTTTTTTCAGAGGGAAGTCCATTTGCCCTCCTACCACGCTGACAGTTGTGCTTGAAAGAGAAATGCAGACACGGCCTCCACCACCGATTCCTCATCACAGACATCAGATAGACAAGTAAGGATTCTTCAGCTGCTTTCCAAAGGGGCCTGTCTGTTCAGAGAAGCCAACAGGGGCTGAACTGTCCCAGGCTGCACCAGCCATTGGTGGCCTCCTCAGGCCTGGCCTTGGGATGCCATGCTCAAATATGTAAGGTTTGGTTGAGGTGTCAGACACATTGTTCGAGTCAGTGGGGTCCTAAGTTTGATGTTTGTGATACCAGATTCCACTCCGGGGAGAGCAGTCCCTGGACATAATTTGTACAATGTAGATGCTAACACTGGGCAACAGATTCAGTCTGTCACACCAGATGGTTTAGCACTAGAACACCACATGGTTAACGATAGTTACTCTGAAGATGGAAGTAGGTTTGGGGGTAACAGCTATCAGTCACGGGGGTGAGAGGAACCTTTCATGTTTTGCTCTGTCTACGTCTATATAGTTTGAATAATTTTTACAACAAAAACGTGTTCATGATTTAAAGAGAAAAGAAAACCAAATTTGCAAGGATCAAGTCTGCCTGATGTTTTCTCAGACAGGAGCAGGGAGGGAGCACTATGCAACCTTCTCTTCCTCTCCTTTGTTGGGAGGGGAGTCCAGATGCCCTACTGTGACCACGACTGAAAGTTACTCTGAAGCCCAGAGGGATTCTTACTCTTGTTCTGACCTTCCACACGGAAGTCCTAGCAGTGCCTCCACTGTGGCTTCCTGCACAAAATCTCTGGACCAGTGATTAGGGCAGTTTACAAGGTCACCAGCAGTGTCATAGCAAATTGTTGTTCTGTGGGACTGGACAGGATAGCTAGGTGTTGCCCATTGGACACAGCCTCAGCCAGGAGCATCTGGAGCCATGTAGCTCCCCAGGACCAGCCCCTCTCCATGTTCTAGTCAGCACAATCTGAATACCCACATGGGCAGAGGCTTTGGAAATGTGAGGGGTGTTCCAAGATATTGCCACGACTGTGTTGTCCACTTAGACATAACCATGTGGAGTCTTTGGCCTATTTATGGCATGCTGTCTCCCCTGCCCCTGCCCTTGCTTGACTTATTCTTAGACTAGTTCTAATATAGTGAACACCTATGTGCCCATCACCAAATTTCAACAATTACCAGCTCATGTTTCCCCCCTATCTTATCAAAGCTTTACAAATGGTAAATTAGCTAATCCTTAACGTTCTGAAGACCTGCATCTGTTTCCTCCAAAGAAGAAAAGATTGATCATTCTTTGTTTGCTTTTCAGGAATCCTGGCAGCTGTAATTTTCAGAAAATAACCAAGGAGCCAGTAATTGACTACTTTGATGTCCAGGACTGAGAAGATCAAGATGCACTTAGATAAAAGAATGATTAGGTGTAGTGGAGACTGATCTGCCAGCAGATAAATCATGCTTGTTCCCCACTGCCTGGCAGAATCACAGCCTCACATACTGTCTTATACTGATACATCCAAAGCATGAGTGTGTCAGAAATCCCCTTGTCTATTCCTGTCTGTATAAAGCATTTCAATATGGCCAGATCTCTGACTGTATGGTTCTGAAGTATTCGGTCATATATTTGCAGAGGCTCCTCACACCATCACTGTGATTGCTCTGAGGGTTGGGGGAATATTGGACTTTATTTGGACAAACCAGAATTTTAGCCCCAAACCAGATTTAGGGCACTTAGTCATAACCTCAGTTAAACACCAGACAGACCTTGCTTTCTTTATGCAAACTGATCGAAATCTTTGGAAAGACACAGCGAATTTCTTAGTCTAAAATACCAAACATTGAATTGGTATACCATATCTGGAATCACACATGTTGTCTTAAACCCAGCTATCTTATCTAAGTCTTTTGCCAAAAACTCTCATAGATCTGTCTAGCTGAACTTATTTTAGTGGTTCTCAGTAGTGGCAGTTCTAGACCTAGAGAGAAGGGCCAGGTTGCTTTACAGAATTCCATTTCCTTAAGTTCCTGGTACTTCTCTCACCACTTCACCAAGCATGTTCAGTGACAGTCAATTTAGCCATCCACCATGGTAAAGGACATAGACCAAGCTTTTCCTTCTGCCAGGCTCACACTGTGGCCTCTGAACTGACCATATAGCCCTAACTGCTATGTTAGAAAGAGTCTCACATGGACAACTGTCCTATGTTGCTTTTTCCTAGGCCTTCAACAGCTATATTGGCTCTCCCTGTCTCTGAGCTCTTCACTTCTGTTTGACTATTTAAAGAAGTATGTGGACAGCCCAGGGCTTATGTCCAGCCGCCCACTGGAGGCATTCTTCAAACTCCTTTAAGGCAGGTGCGTTGATAATTACATTAGTTTGACCTTCTGCACTGGCACAATTGCTGGCATGTAGGCCAAACTTATAGCAGTTTCCTTCTGCTCCAGCACAAGCCACAAGCACCAGAGCAGCAGGAGATTTGTTAATGGAGTCACAAGGCCAGACACTTAATTTCTGTAGAAAAAGCAGCCCTTTGGTCCTCACCCAGACAGCCTACTTTGAAAGGTATCAGATACAACAGTAGAAACAGGCAACTAGTGGAAAATAATAGAAAACAACAAAACCACCTTTATCTGGGCCCATTTAGTGCACACAAGAGGCAGCCCATAAGCATCCATTATATCTTTCAAGCAGTGGATTCAGTGGGTAAACTGTACCCATGAGAGCATTTCAGAAGCAGCAGGAGGCAGGAGCCCTGATTTCAGATTCTAGCTCAGCGACGTAACAGCTTGCCATTTGATGGGATGAAAGTTTCACCGACCTCACCAGGGTTGTGAGGATCAAAAGAATTAACATACATAGAGGTACCTGATCCACCATAGGGGCTCAAAGTTCATAAAAATGATACTTGGTACCTGGAAAATATGTAAACATCTTTTTTTCTCCATAATACTAGCCAAGTAAAAGGTATGGAATGCTAAACAGGCTTCTTCTTGTGAATGTTCGCCTTCCTATCCTGTGCCATCCTTGTGCTAGGGCTCTGGGAAACAGATGTAGCCTGTTTTCTTAACATTTAGTAATCCAGGGAAGACACATACCTAAACAAATGTTTTTAATGGAATTCGTTGGTCTATCACAAATAGGTCATTAATCTGTTATAAGCAGCTAAAGATCCCTTGAGGGGGAGTATTTTGTGAAGTTATGGTAGGTATAGGTTAGCTCTCGTGGTTGGAGAGGGACACATGGGGGGTGTTTGAGGCTTGAGATGGTAGATTGCCATTTGCAGGAGGAAAGAGGCATGCCAAGTGAAGTTAAACAGCATGAGACAGGGCTAAGGGTGTGGTTTGTGATGGGTTTGAAGAAGGCTTAGTTGTCCAGAGTGGGCAGACAGCTGGGGGGACAAGTGATTAAGCTGAAGAGGTGGACAGGGATCAGCTCATGAAAAGACTTGAGCCGCTGAAGAATCCTAAGCAGAGTGGCCTGGCCAGATTTATGATCTAGATTAGGAGTCAGCAAATGTTTTCTGTAACAAACCAGATGGTAAATATTTTAGATTTTGTGAGACTTACAGTTTCTGTTGCAACTACCCAACTCTATATCATAGTGTGAAAGCAGCCTTAGACAATATACAAATGAATGGGCATGGCTCTGTTCTCACAACACTTTATATTTATGGACACTGAAATAAGAATTTCACATAATTTTTACATGTCGTAAAATATTCTTTTGACTTCTTTTCCAACCATTTAAAAACATTAAATCCATTTTAAGCTTGTGAGAAAAACAGGTAGCAGGCTGGATTTGACCACAGAGTTTAGTTAACCTGCCCATGCTAGAGGAGTCCCTCAGGGAAAAGTATGCAGGAGGGAGTGGAGTTTACTTTGAGGCAAGAAGCCCAGCCAAGAGTCTGCAGAAGTGCTCCAGGTGAGAGGAAATGAGGGTGATAGGAGTTGGCACTGCCTAGAGGGAAGGGATTCAGATGCCAGAGGTTGGTGGGGAAACTAGCTCCCCTTAGATCACCAAGGAAACCCTAGGTCCCCTCAGCAAGGGAATGTTTCTCATGGGTTTAGTGGATTCTTCACTGAGCAGCAGTGTTGGACAAGATTTTACATGAGTGTAGACTAGAGGGAAAGACACCTCCACCTCCTCCACGCTATACCATACATGGAGGGAGCCTGTGGGCATCAGGAGCCCACCCAGCTGCTCCCTGAGAATCAGTGCCTCCTCTCCCCCCACATTCTTTCAGCAGGAGTTTCTTTATGGGCCAGAGCTTTCCAGAGACCAGATTCTTATCTCTGGAATTGCCTCTGGCTTATCTGGCAGGGCTGGCTCCTCTCAACAGTGGTGCCAGCCTGGCATGCAGTGGGGGGTTGTGTGCAGGACTGTGAAGATGAAAGCAGGCCCTCCTGGTTGCAGGGTCTGTTTGAAACAGCAGTCAGGATTTTGATTTGAACCAGAATCCTGTCCTGGACAGGCCAGAGAACAGACCAAGGGAGGGGAAGAAGGAATGTCAGTGTTGATGGGGAGGTGCAAGTCTTAATCAGGTCTATAGATTTACGTTTATAGTGACTCAGGAGACTGAGGTGGGAGGATTGCTTGAGGTCAAAAATTTGAGACAGGCCTGGCTAACCTAGCGAGACCCCATCTCTCATATCTACAAAAAAAATTTTTTTTAATTAGTCAGGTATGGTGGCACATGCTATAGTCCCAGCTACTCAGGAGGCAGAGGTGAGAAGATCACTTCTGCCTAGGAATTCAAGGTTACAGTGAGCAGTGATCATAGCACTGTACTCTAGCCTGGGTGACAGAGAAAGACCTTGTCTCAAAAAAAAAGATTTAGGTTTGGGGGAGTCTGTCCTATGTGGTGCTGGTCTTCATGCTTCATGCCTAAAAGCCAGCCTGAGACCTTGTTCCCTAAGGAAAACGTGCCAGTGTACTACCTCTCCTGAAGATGGAGAGGACCACCAGGCCAGCTCTTTCCCCAGCAGAGACTGCCTTCCTCGTTAGTCTTCCTCATGGAAACACCCATTGGGAAAGTTCTGCCTCCCAAACTTTCCCCACACAGCCTCAGCACAGGTGTCTCACACCATTTCCCATGGCTTGAGGGTCCCAGGGCATTCTCTAGGCCAGTCCAGCCTCTCAGCCTACAAAGGCCGAGCCCAGAAGGAGTAGGCTCCCTGGGGTCACAGTGTGCATGTACCACATTAGGACTAGAATCTAGGCCTTGGATTCTCTATCCTAGAAACACCCTATACTAGGAAGAGGCTGAGGCCTCAGGAAAAGGTAAGCTGTTTTCCTCTCTGGCTTCACCAAACACAACCCACTGGGAAGTCCTTCTCAGCGGCCCAGGCTGCCCTCAGCTCTAGGCTTCACAAGGTCACTCTTCATAATGCACAGCAGCCTGGGAGACATGGGTTCAGAGACCCAGCTGAACAGGTAAGGTGTCTGTTTTGCTGTCTCAACTCACTCTGTCCCTATGCAGTTTGCTTACAGTGTCAGCACTGGCTTCTGCATCTGTCAGGTTGGGTAACAGTTCCTGCTCACGTGCTTCCCAGAGCCATTGTGAAGGTAGTAGGTAGACTGAGCATCAGAGAGGTCAGGAGAGAATCCCATTGCCACATGGCATCTCAGCACAAGCCTTTGGAGCCCATCCCTGGACCCGTTCTCAGGACAGCTCTTAGGGAAGCGGGGAAGGAACAGAGCAGTGGTCGAGCTGCTCAGACAACGGCTGGGGCTTTCAGTCTCCCCCACCTACACATACACTCCTCTCACCAGCTTCAAGCTCGACACAAGAAAGTCAGATGTCCTCATCTACTCACACTTTCACAAGAATCTTTCCTGACAGTAGGTAACAGCTATTGGGCACTTAATATGTGCTCATCTCTTTCTCTTCAAAGCCCCACGAAGCTGGGCATGATAGCTGGTGCCTGTAGTTCCAACTACTCAGGAGGCAGAGGTGGAAGGGTTGCTTGGACCCAGGAGTTTGAGGCCAGCTAAGCAACATAGTGAGACCCCTTCTCTAAATAATGCTTTTTTTTTTTTAATTTAAAAATTAAAAAATGAAAACCCACAAAAAGCTCCAGAAGTATGTATTATTATCCTCATTTTACCAATGAGGAAACTGAAGGTTAGAGAAGTTAAGTCATTTGCCCAAGATCACAAAGTACACAACTGGGAATCTGAAATTCCTACTAGGTCTGACTTATCTCCACTTCACTACAAAGTAGGGGCAACTCATATAGCTCATCTTGGAGTCCTTGGGGCAGGGTGGCCCATCAGGTCAGGAAAAGTGGGAGGGAAGCTTATACTGTGTCCAAAACAAAACACCAATAACCATTCCACAGGAGACCAGGCTTTCTCCACAGTGGCCACTGGGGGTAGTATGTCTCCCCAAACCAGGAGCCTGAGTATAGACTGGGAGAGTGCTTACACTTTCCCTCAGGAAGGCTCTAAAACTTTTTAGTAGAGTTTACAACCAATATTTTTTAAATTTGTCACATTTTCATTTCTTCTTGTAATACTATTTGTTCTCTGTTTGTTGATATACATAGTATAAGCACCAGGGAAAGCATAAAGCATGCAGCTATC